GCCAGTCTTATTTACTGGCTTAGCGAGGTTAAGGGGGAGTGTGCGTCAGTGGCCGGAGATCGAATGCCAGACCATATCAGGTGTAGTTGGTGAGCATTCTACCACTGTACCGTCGACACACACGAATAAAGGACATTACTACAACCAAAGTAACGTAAAGGATTTAAAATAACGTTTTTAATAAGCACTTATGGATAAGGTAGACATTCCACTTTACATAAAAAATAAATAGAGAAAACATGAACTTTTAAAGTGATTCAACTTGGGTGGTATAGAAAACTTAAAAGGATAAATCGTGTACATAATAGAATATAACTTTATTGCATGTGATACATACAAAAGTTAGTGAAATTAGGAGACACCGATCAAAAATAAGGCGGTATATTATTATATCCTTTAATTCCTAGAGGAACATAGGGCTTCAGCCGCGCGTCTCCATTGCGTTCGGTTCTCTGCTAACGTTTTCACCTGGCTTCAAGCCTGCCCACATGCTTTCGCCTCCTCTTCACATGAACTCCTCCATGTTACCCTCACACTGACGACCAACTCGCTGCTTCCCCTTCAGGTTCCAATCGAGGGTTTGTCTAGTGATGTCACTTGATGGTTTCCTCAGAGTATGGCCAGCCAATCCACCTCCATTTCTTCCTGCTTATTTGTTGCACAATCGGTTGCTGCTGGGTTGGTTCGCTCCCAGAGATCACTATTGCTGATCTTTACTGGCCAGCCATTTGATCTTGAGCCAAGTACTGAGCGAAGACAGCTGTTGATGAAAGTCCACAGTTTGTTTGAGGTGCTCTTCATGACGCGACGCCAAGTTTCTGATCCGTATACTAAGTAGCACTGACTTCACATTGGAGTTGAAGATCCGAATCTTATTTTTGGTGCTGAGTGCTGTTGACCTCCACACAGACTTAAGAGTAATGAAAGCTTGTCTTGCTTTTCCGATTCTGGCTTTGATATCCTCGTCAGTTCCGTCCGCCTGTAGTTGAAACGGTGCTTACCAGGTAGGTAGGCAGGTAGGCAAAGGAGGTTGTTTCTCTCAGGTTCCTCTCATTCATGCTGGCTGATTGTTGTTTGTTGTTGGCCAGGAATCTTCATCACCTCTGCTTTGTCTATGTTCACCTGAAGTCATATGTCCTCTAGATGCTTCTTCTGCCAACTTGTTGCTTTTCACTTGCATATCTTCCAGTTTGTGGGAAATCAGACATATATCATCGGCGAAGTCCAGATCCTCCAAGTATTTCGTGTGGGTCCATTTTATGCCAATCTCCTCGTTGCCCGGTCCGCTGTCTGTGGCATCACAACCAGGAAAATCATTGGCAATAGTAGGCAGCCAGCCTTGTCTTACTCCCGTCTTCACTTCGAAGGATTCCGTAATTTTCTCGTTATGGTTTACTTGGAATGCAGCATTGTCGTACAACTGTTGGATGAGATGTATAATTGTCGGTGGCACCCGTAGTAGCGAAGCAGTTGCTAAATCACCTATTGGTCGACGCTGTCGAAGGCCTTTTCAAAGTCAATGAAGTTGAGATAGGGAGGTGACTTCCATTCCAAGCTTTGTTCAATGATGATCCGTAGTGTGGCGATTTGATCAATACATGACTTGTTTCTCTTGAATCCAGCGTGTTCCGGCCAAAATAGGGCAGTGGTTGCCAGAAAAGGCAGTGAGAACAGGAATTCCAGTGAATATTTTGGAGAATAACGCAGGTGATGGAAATATTCAAACAAAAAGAAGAAGAAGAAGACAAGGCACAAATCACCGTCAACGGGAGAAATTTTAGAGCAGTCACCTTTTTCTTTCACATAACTAGGCAACACCATGTCAACTACAGACAGCACAATTAAGATATCAAAGATACCCAGGATAGGGAAAAGCAAGAAAGGCATTTAATTACTCTGAAATTAGTGTAGAGACTCATAGTGTGATGAGAGCTGGCTGCTAGCAAAAAAGTGGTAGGCAGTAATTTACGTCAATGTTTACGTCCCCAATATTAGTCGTGAGAAAAATATGAACAAATCTATAAATATGTGTTGATTTTCTCAATAAACGATCTGTTGCCGGCTCTTGTCTTCTGTTGTTACATTTGGTGTCACTGCCTACCGACAAATGGAAAGCCTATGCCTTGCAGTTTTGATGGAGACATATGGATCTTCGAGCACGACTTCGAGGCTTCTGCGCAGTTGAGTGGCGTTCAATATCTGTCAGCGATGAGGTTGTTACTTGGAACGCTGCTGAGAGGTTGGGAAAAAGCAGCATATGAAAGTGAGGGGCGAAATAGGGACGAATGTGCGACAGGGTCAGGCAAACAGTTTTCAAAGTGGGAAGAACCACATATGGTCACTTTCAGATGGGGTTAGGCAGACACAATTGCAATGGTAAACAAAGGGAAACAGGTGAACATTCGACTGGGACAACCAACGTTTAAATATTAGACAGAGGAAACACCAAGAATGCTAGAGAAGTTGTAGAAGCCTACCTGGTATTCCAGTGAAGCGTCAAACAATAGACACATCGAGATAGACAAAATTTATCAACGATAAGAAAGAAATCTGACAGACAAATCTCTATCATATTTAAATCTTAACTCTGCCCTAAGAGCTCGTCTACTACATTTTGTTGAGGCTGGCTGTTGGGATCCACATTAAGAAGCCTAATTTATGCGTCCAAAAGAAGCTAGTTCAGATATTGTCCTTACCTTGGCCATTAACGTTCGAATGACCTTCAATTTGTTGTGGAAATTTCCTTAATTTTAGTTGATATTCTATTTGTTATTATATCTTTGTTATCATTATAATTTAGGCATCTTTCGTGAACTGTAGTTCCATTGATCTTACTTAACAAATCGATATTATTTAAAAAACACTAGTATTGTTATTGACTACTAATCTAGAATATTCTATGTATATAAGACGTATATATACATATTATTGTGGAGCCAGTAGAGTAAACTATCGATTGATTGGACAGTGATCAGTAACTAGTGTGATGTGTCTAGTCCTTTCTCTTTTTTTCGGTACAGACCTAATTCTATCAGTCAGGTTTGCAATGCGGCCATTAATATGGCCACTAGGTAACTTACTCGCCATCCATCACAGTGCACATTGATTTGATGATGATAATTAGATGGTAAGAGGCAATCGGCCACAGGAAGCCTTCCCTGACCCACGTATCGTGCTAGTAGGCTCAATTATTCTTTTCTAAATATTCAAAAAATTACAGGATTTCATCATGAGCTGATATTAGTTACAGAACTGTCATTCTATCAATTCGTCAATCCAATTTTTAGAGAAAATCAAAAACATTCAAATAGAAGACAATGTAATAATGGTGTCCTTTCATGTCATCGCATTATATACTTCAATTAGTCCAAAACTAGCAACAGAAACTATGCAACAATTACTCTATAGTGATGAAAACATAAAAACTCAATGTTCAACTTGGATGGAACGCATAAAATTATGCCTTACAAAATACTTACAATTCAATACTCAAATATATGAGCAAATAAAGGGAACACCAATGGGATCACCCATATCAAGATTAATAGCTGAAGCCGTTATGCAAAGATTAGAATTAATAGCTCTACCAATAATTCAACCGAAAATCTGGGTACGTTACGTTGATGATACATTTGTAATAATTAAGAGAAATGATTTAGAATATACCCATAAATTAATAAACAACATATTTGAAGACATCGAATTCACTACGAGAGAAGAAGAATTCGATAACAAAATCCCATTTTTAGATGTCTTAATCAGGAGAACAAACACAGGAGATTTAGAAACACAAGTATATAGAAAATCAAAGTACACCGATCAAATACTCAACTATACCAGCAATAATCCAATTACTCACTAAAGAAACTGTGTGCAGACATTGTTTAGAAGAGTTCAAACACACTGTAGCACTCCAGAGTTAAAAAGAGAATGGAAGAAAAATACCTACAAACGGTCTTCATAAAGAATGGTTATCCACCAAATTTCACCAAAAAGTGTTTAAAATTGAATCACAACACCAACAAGGAACCATCACCAAAGACCGAAAAGAAATCCATCCTACCATACATCAAAAATATCTTTGAAATAACGGCTAGAATAATGAAACCGTTTGATATAGATATAGCACACAAGCCATTCAAATCACTTAATTCGATATTCTGCAAACCAAAATATCCAACAGAAAAAGGGTAAAAAATTAATACCATTTACAAAATAAGTTGTATGAACTGTAACAGGCATTACATCGGCCAAAGTGGGCGTCCCCTTCGAATTAGAATCCAGGAACACAAATCAGCCGTGAAAAGACATGATATATATTCGTGTTTAATATCAATACATATAGATAATTATGGACATCAGTTTGATTGGGATAATGTCGAAATCTTAGACAGAGGAAACACCAAAACTGCAGTCAGGGAATTCCTAGAAGCCTGGTACTCAAATGAAAATGCAATTAATAAACACGTTAATATAGTTGAAATATATCAACTAATAAAAAGTAAATCAGGTGATCAGAAAGTTTAAAATCCGAGTCAATAGAAAATGGTCAATACATATGTAAAGATGGTTGGTCACCAGGAGATGCAATTATATCACTCAAGAAGAAATTTAAATCATTTCACTTTATCCTAAATACTGCGCTGAAGATGTCGTCCAGAAAGACGATGAAAGCTCCACAACTAAACCAACGAGATCAGAGAACAATATTAATTGCAAAAGTAGTTACAGAACCATTGGAAAACCAAATGGGAGTACTGGACAGCTGTTTCGTCCTAGTTTTGCACTATTCATCAGTACGCATCCACCACTAGGGTTCGAACCCAGGACCTTCTGGTTAAAAGGCGAGGTCGTAGATAATTAAGTCACTAGGACCCGATCCAATGGCCAGTTCATGAATTCTAACTTCTGCTAATTGACGACATACGGCGATCTCTAGCCAATGCTGATCAAAGAAAAGAAACGGATGCAAGTTCAAATGAAAGAGATCGCCTCTATATCTACGACTATATATTGTTCTGTTCTATTCTTATCCATGCAAGTTACAGTGTTAAATTAAAGCAAAAATGTATGGATCAAATAAAAATGAACGGATGGGGTTATCACACACGTACACCCACATACACACACACACACACACACAAAAGGAGGATATATGAACAAAACAAATGATACCTATATATATGTATCTGCGTAAATGATACTGAAAAGTGGACTGATGATGAAATTAACTGAAGTTTTATGTAAAAAAAAAATAATATAAAAACAGCTCCAATAATAATCTGTGAGAAGTACTCATCGAAGAGATAGTAGGACGGCGGGTGGTGGGGGGGGGGAAGGCATTATATATATAAAAGTTATCCACAAAAAAGCAGAATATTTCTTCACAAGGAAACAAATCGAATGAAAAAAAATTAGATATTAGTCAGTGTTAGTTAGGGATACAAAGGTGCACATTTAGTTTACCTCATTCTCAATCTATCCGGATTAAATTCTTCAATACCAGGCTGTTGAAGTAGACGACAACCAGCCTCTTCTTCATCTAGCTTCATTTGTTCACTAACCTCTGAACTATTATTCTGTGTTAAATATGGATTATCTTTTAAAATAATACTGGCTAATAGACGTCCAGTAATTGGTCCGGTTAGTATACCCCAACATGAATTACCTGTTGCAATGTATACACCTGATACACCGGGTACTTTACCGATAACAGGTACACCGTCAGATGAAATAGGCAGATAACAAGCAGATTCAGTTATCAACTCGGCATCTTTTAATGAAGGGATAACACTGGTGACGATTTCTTGCAATCGATGACAACGCCATGATTCTACTTCGACTTTATCTTTTGAAGATGGTACAGGCTAGAGGATGAAGAAAAAAGAAAGGAATAGTATTAGTAATAATTTTTGCTTTATTCTGATATATATATATATATATATGGTGGTCTCTCTTTCTGTTTGCTTTCTTAGTCTGTGACCATTTCACTTGTATGAACCTGTCTCCTTTAACGATGTATATTCCCCTTATACTATATATAATATGAGTGTTTGTTGACAGTCCGTTGCTTGGTGATATATATCCATATAATATGTGTGTTTGTTGACATGTCTGCTATATTTTGCTATGTATATATGGATCGATACTCCATTATAATTAGCCATTCATGTTCAGACTGTCTATTGATTTGTTCACACACTTGTCTGGACATTAATATATATATATATATATATATATATATATATATATATATATATATATATATTGCATTCACATTCTTGTGTGAATTGATTCTCCTGGTGTTTTGGGAAATAGAAGTATCATCGCAAACCTAGTGGTCTTCTGATTTCCGTCTTTCTTGCGTCAGGACTATTAAATTCTCGACCAGAACATAGCAATAATTTGGCGACGAGTACATAACATATTCCAAGAACAGTACTAATGATACAGTAAAGGAATTTTCAGCATTCAGTATAATATTGCATCTAATTTACTCAAAACGACAAAAAACAATAAACATTACATAATAATTATAACAATAACAAAACGTTGTTATAGCAGCTATGTAGCAAATTACATTATGCGATAAGGAGAAAAATATGCATAAAGTATAGAATTATAGTAATAACAACTAAAATAAAAATAGCAAAGTCATCATTAAACAATAGAAAGGGTGACACCATAAAATTACAGAAAGATGAACAACGAAAGGATCGATTCACTTTGCTAATAACATAGTAACTTATATGTTTCACGTCTAACAGTGGTTCGAGCATATAACTTCTTATATTGACTTCTCGTCCTACCCGATGAGATGCAAGGGGATAGTTATGAATAAAGGGGGTGCAGGGGGACTGACAGTACCGGCTTTGCCCACTTTGTACAGGAATTTATGTGTCTCTCGACTACAATTATTGGCGAGCTCACGCAGTGGCATAACACAAGCCCTACTCACAGCATTTAATACCCTTCGTAATATGATATAGTCTTTTTTGAGAAGCCCAGGAAAGATTAATGGAGAGCAATAGAGTACAATAGGTAAACTACAGGAGTTTAAAAACTGCAGGAGTAAAGGTTGGTTGATACCTGATTGTCTTAACTGTTTAATGTAAAACGTAAGACGAAACATTTTCTCAGAGATAGATAAGATGTGGGATGACCATGAAAGGTCAGAGGAAAGAACTAACCCAAGGTATTTAATGCTTGACTTGCTTTCAATTTCAGTGCCATCTATGCTACAGGCATCATGGGAACTAACTAGATCATGTATGTCACGTCGATGCTTGAAAGTACAGTTAACTACCTGACATTTGGAAGGATTTAACATAAGACCATTCGACTTAGACCACTTGCTGGTGTCCAACAGAAAGCTATTAAGTTTAGAGCAGTCAGACTTGGAAGTGATACAGTCAGATCATCTGCATATTTGGCAAAGTTAGTTACGTTTGAATGAGGCAGGTCGTGTAGGAAGAAAGAAAAAGAAAAGGAGAGAGGACGGCACCTTGAGGGACACCTGCTTTTGTAAGTGAGGCAGAAGAAGATTCGCCATTACATACAGTATACTGCAATCTATCAGAAAAATAAGAATACAGCCAACTCTTAGCCCAGGATCCTGTTTGCATCAACGAAAGCTTATTTAATAAAAGACCCCCCTAGGTACAGAGTCAAAAGCAGATGTGTAGTCTAGGAAAGCACCACGAACATATTTGGTACCTTTGTCTAAACAAGAAACAACATTATGATATGAGACAACCGCAGCATCCAAGGTACATCTACCATGTTTATATGCAAATTGTTTAGGATCATTAAAAGGTTTCAATGAAGGTTCAAGACGAAGTAAAAGTAATTTTTCCATCAATTTTAAAAAAGGAGAAGTAATTGCAATAGGCCTAAATTTAATATCAGTACCAGAAGGTGGTTTTGGTATGGGGATAATTTTAATGTTTTTCCATGCAAAAGGTAGAACATTACTGGAAAAGGAAGCATTAAAAATGTTAGTGAGAGGGTAACATAAAATATCAACACAGTTCCTGAGGACAATGGCAGGTATGCCATCAAGACCAAGGCTTTGAGAAGGCTTAAGAGACTGGAGACATTTAAGAACATCAAGGGTATTAAAACCATTAAAATTATTGTCTATATGATTTGTAAATTAGGAAGGATATCGACAGAAGAGCATATGAAAGACTTATTTAGAGTATCAACATTAAGCAATAATAATAATCAAAATAGAATAGGAGAGGATCGTGATCAGGCTTGAAAACTATTCAAATGCTCACTAGCAACTAAAATATCGGATGAAGTTGCCTAGTGTGGTTCTAATCAGAAATTATATGACCAGTGTAAGGATGAATACTCACTCATCACCGATAACATTGTTGGGTAGTGGCGTCAACAAAACAAAAATAGAGAATTGAGAATTCATAGGTCATTTCTTTAGGGTTCCATCCCAGTGGCTTCATCCAATGGTCATCAACGGATTCATCTCGTCACACTTGAAGGTTCTAGGGTTCAATCCATAGCACTGCCGAAGAGTCCCGAACTAGGATGAAACAGTATCCCTTGGTTTTTAATGATTCTTTAACTGTTATCAATCCATAATCAAAGTTTGAAACCAATCATAACAAGTTAAATAAATATCGGTTAATCTGGACAAACATCAATGCACATATTCTATTATTATTGTCCCCTTGGCTCCGAGTGGAACACGGTGGCTACAGCAGCATATCTCTTCTTCCTCCTATTTTTTTGTGATCTTTTTTATCTGGTCCCACGATTTGTCCATAGTCTTTCATCTCCTCATGCTCCGCCCCCCCCCACGATCTCCTCAATATTATTACCCTTGGACGACTCACTCGTCATTTCGCGTTTGGTTCCACCATTAGGGGGTTTGAAACGCGGTGTCATTCGACGGTCTCCTCAGCGTGTCCATCTCCATTTTCTTCGGAATTTTTTTCAGTAACAGGTTGTTGGATAGTTCGTTCCCAGAGTTTTTGTCGCTAATTCTTTCCACAGACATTTGACCTTCAATACGGAACAAAGGCAGCTGTCTGTCGGGAACGCTTCTCGTGATGTGCCGTTTCTGACCCTTGTAGAACTGACTTAACACTGATGACACGCATTAGTGCAACTAAAAGTGCTTTCAACTCCAGTGGGTGAGTACTGATGAAGAGTTCCAAACTAGGACGGAGAAAACAACTGGCTGTCCAGTATTCCCAGATTTCTGAATGGTTCTCTAACCGATGTTAGCTTTTGATGAAATTCCGTAACAAAACAATCAAATCCCTACAAACCAACACTTGAATAGCAATGAGATTCTCACTAGCGACTGGCTCTATTCAGGTAGGTAGTTACATGGGGTCTAGTGGGAAGTCATGACCAGTAGGATACAGCAGGTCGGGTGTGAGGGCAAATACTTGCCGCCAATGACATTCACTAGTGATCGTGCTATTTTGTGAATTGTCAGAAGATGGAATTCATGGGCCATTGGATTGGCGGGTCTCAGTGGCTTAATGGTCTATGAGTTCGCTAGCCTTGTTACCAGAAGGTGGTGGTTCCGACCCCTGGATGGTGGCTGTGTACTGATGAAGAGTCCCAAACTAGAACAGAGGAAACAACTGGCTGTTCAGTACTCCGAGGTTTTCCAATGGTTCTCTAACTGATGTCAACTCATGTTGAAATCTTGTGACCAATATTAAATGACTTTTAGGAGTTTGTTAGATTCTATGGCTTTGATTTGTTTCAAATTTCATCAGGGATTGATATCATCAGTTAGAGAAACATTGATAACTAACACGGAGTACTGCCAGATAGCTGTTTCGACATTAGTTTGAGACTCTCCATCAGTACACACCCACCCGTGTTCCAACTTAGAATCTTTCAGCTAAAAGTCAAGCTCGTTGACGACCATTCAGTCTCTAGTGGATATGATTCAATGACCAGCTTATGAATTCTGACTTCGATTAATTCGTGAGTTTAGCGCCACTGTCACCAGCCAATGTTATCGGTGAGTATTTATCCTCACTCACGACTTAACGGGCCCCAGTAGTCCAGGTATTGTTCTTTTATAACTACTGTAATTTCAGGTAATGGTCTGCAGCTGACAAGAACCTGTGGCGTCATTTTACGCCACGTCTTTGTTGCTTCACTTAAAAGAAAAGTTAAACCGAAAATACATTATATATATATACATATAATTGGTGGATCGTGACTAGCAGTGGAATCCAGCCAGGATAAAGCGCATTTCGTCCTATTTGGAACTCGTCATCTAGATTCCTCAGTGAGTAGTGATATTCCCACCCAGGCTCAAACCCAGTGCCTATAGTTTCAAACGCTAAAGCATTCATTATCCACCAATCAGACCATTTGGACCACGAGAGCCACCTCTTGTACAACAGGTCATATCAATTAATCCAGTCGACGAGTCCCAAATAGGACGAAATGTACCTTATCCTGGTTGGATTCCACTGCTAGTCACCATCCTGCACCAATTAAATTCTAATTACATGCCCAGACATCGTCGAAGCATCTACACAAGAAGCCGACAGACATGTCAACCTGACACCGAGCACTTCGGTCCAATCGATCGACGGGAAAATCGAAAATTCAATTAAGCATTATATATATATATATATATATATATATATATTCAGTCTGTAGTGCTTGATAAACTGGCGCAACACTTAAGACTCAAAACACGCAGGCAAGCGTGCGCACACACACCACACAGATACACACACACACACAAACAGTCATATGATGAATATGCAAGTCCTTCTTCTAGTGATTTGATGTAATCAAGAACAAAAGAAAAAGAACTTTTTATTCTAACTAAATGAGAATTTATGAAGCAGGTGAGTGAATA